CCCCCCCCCCCCCCCCCCCCCATCCCTCAGCGGAAACTGCTGGGCCTTCGCGTCCTCTCAAGTGATCTCCGCCTTCAGGTGCAGGAAGGGTCTGGGATTCGCGGAGCCCTCCATCAAGTACGTCACGCTCTGCAAAAACAAGCAAGCAGATAATTACGAAGAAAATCCCTTCACCCATTACAATGATAATATTTGCAGAGAAGGGGGACATCTCTCATACTACTTAGACACCCTAGACAAGACAGGCATGTTGCCTACCTCCTACGATGTACCATACAACGAACCAATAAAAGGAGCAGACTGTCCACAGGCCAGTGACAAATGGGCTAACATGTGGGAAAAGGTAAACCCATTAACTAGAATTTTGAACGGGTACCTTTACCGTGGGTACTTTAAAATTTCCTTTCATGAATATGCAAGGAACGGAAAGACTCAAGAACTTATTAGCTTAATTAAGGATTACATAATGGACCAGGGATCCTTGTTCGTGTCCATGGAGGTAAATGAAAAATTAAGTTTCGATCATGATGGAGAAAAGGTAATGATGAATTGTGAATATAAAGCAGCCCCTGATCATGCCCTGACATTAATAGGGTATGGTGATTACTTAAAACCTTCTGGGGAAAAAAGTTCCTATTGGTTAATTAGAAACAGCTGGGGATCCCATTGGGGTGACAAAGGAAATTTTAAAGTCGATATGTATGGTCCTGCTGACTGTAACGGTGCAGTATTATGCAATGCTTTCCCTCTAGTACTTCAAATGAATGGGAAGAAAATTAACAAACCGCTTCCAAATGATTTAGCATCTACCGATAACAAAGTCAGATATGACCACTCCAGCTTCACTAGGGATCAAAACAGGAGACAGTCCAGGAGATACAATTCGAATAAAGCACAGGACCTACCCAGTGATCGGGCAGATTACTACCCATTTGATAAACCAAAAAATAATAATGATATATTTGATGGCGAGGACAGGGAGGATTGGCCAGCGTTTGATCGATTCAAGGGCGACTATGTCTACCCCTACATGGATAATGGAAAATACGCGGAAGGAGGAAAACCAGGCATGAGTGATAACCGCAGCAGCAAAATACGACGCACCGTTTTCAGGACCTCCCTGGTCGTAAATATTGGGGATACCCAGTTCAAGCGGGACATTTACATGAAAAGTAGGCCTCCTGGGGGATAAAAGCCGGTGCGGTCGTGCAGCACTTCACCCATTCGTCGCCGTCCTCAACACTTCTCACCACATGTCACCACATCTTACCCCCCTACTTCTACGCAGGAAAAGACGAGTACAAGGAACAGCACTCCTGCCTGAGGACCTACTCCCTGGATTCCCTAGCGGACGTCTCCTGCAGGAGCAACTGCAATCAGCATATTGATCGGTGCAAGCATTATTCGTCCATTGGGAGCTGCCTCATGCGCGTGGCTCCGAACTATAAGTGCGTTTACTGTGGCATGTAATTAGGGAAAACAGATTCTCCCCAATTTGTACCTGTTGGTAGCCCGGTTGGGATAGGTACCAAAATGGGACAAAAAAAAAAAAAAAAATGCTACAAAATGATCATTTTCTTCAACGTGGCAAATAATCAGTTCAATTTTATTTTTTCGTTGCTTTGCGTTTACCCCCATGGCGTATGCACGACATCTTCATTTCCTTACCCCGCATGCGAAATATGTAGGCGCCCCCATCCGATGGCCTTCCGTTAAAAAACTTTTTATTTGGCCATCACCGTGACACACATATTTTTGCTCCATTGCACATGCGTAACGATTGTCCACACTTGTTTTTGCGCCCCATGACGCACTTCACACCCACAACTAACATTATATTTGCGTGTTGTTGTGGGGCATTGCCCCAAGTGCTGTTCTTTAATAGACTTATCGTGTGGAACACACCGCACACATTTTTTTTTTTTGTTATTTTTTTTTTTTTTTCTCACGCGCCGTTTTTTGTTATATTAAGAAGTGGCCGCTATATTTTCATTTCGACTTTTGTTACCGTCACCTTGGCTCAATCTCATTTTTTTTTTTTTGTGCAATTCGCACTCACCCTGCCTAGAGGTGGCCAGCCGTTCCAAGCGAACACGCGTACTACGTACATGGACGTACTTGTCCAGCAACACACCTTTCCGGGGGGATGTAACAAAAAGGGGGTGAAAAAACAGGTTGGCAAAAAAAAAAAAAAAAAAAAAAAAAAAACACACGTTTTTGCACCTTTGTGTGCGGCTATTCATCCACTTGATAAAACTTCCATTCTTTTTGATTTAACGAATGGGAACAAAAGGTGGAGCAAAAAATGAAGCGTTTCCTTATGTAGGCGGTTATCTTCAGTGAAGCAGACGTGTGGCATTCTCCCTCATTTTTTGGACATTTTTTTCGAAGCCACGACATGCATGTAGGACGCAATTTTTGCGCGAGGGAAAAATTCCCCAGGAAAATGGTCAATTCATATTGACCCTTTGGGGAAACATCCGACATATCTGCCTTTGGCGCCGCCACTTATCACTGCCCATCCTTCAAATGTACGGCGCGCCTCTTCGAATTTGTTTTTTTCCTATCTCCCTGTGAATTTGAAAAAATTGTTACTTGTACGATGGTATGTTATGTGCGCATGTGTACTTACGGATGCAATGTCGTGGGGCATGCTCTCTCTCTCCCTCTCGAGGGTTCGCTGCTTTAACCCCCTTTTCGAAGTTCTCTCCCCCCGTAGGCGCGCGGCAGTCACGTACTCCTCGAGCGACCAACTGATGCGGTGAACATAACATAAAGTTGGCACCCCATTTTTGTCACATTTTATTGGGGCCCTTTTTTTGTTTTTTTTCCTCTACGTTTGTTAAAACCGTCTGAATCGCTTTTTCCCCTACGAGAGGTGCCCCAAGAAGAGTTAACATGAGCGTTACGACTCAGGCGCACAAAAAAGAAGAGAAGCTTTATGGACGCCGTCTCTCCCCCCCTTCCCCCGTTATAGAGTAGTAGTACATCGAAGAGGGGCTAATGGACACTGCCCAGAGTTATCTCCCCACATACATTTCTCCTCATTCCTGCAACCCAAACAGGTTATCCAATTCTACTTAACGGGCAAAATGTTTCACCTGCTAAAACGTAACCGCGCATCCAAATTACGGAGCGCGCTCATTAACAACAGGATGCCCTATGGCTCAACCCCCGAGGGTGAAAGTACCCAACCAAATGCACACAACCAAATTATCCACCTCACCAGTGACGCAATTAACAAAATGAAGCAAATCAATTTGAAGTATAAAAACTCAAAAGCTTTGAAGGTATCTGTAGAAGCTGGGGGATGCTCAGGCTTCCAGTATTCCTTTTCCCTAATTGACAAAACAAACATACAGGAGAAAGACCTAGTCGCTTATAATAAAGAGTGCCTCGTAGTCATTGATAAAGGGGCGGCAGAAATGCTTCGGAACTCCAAAATAGATTACACCAATAATCTCATTGCAAAAAAGTTTGTCATTGAAAATATTCAGAACCTCTCATCCAAGTGTTCCTGTGGTAACTCCTTTGATGTTAAATTGTTTTAAGTGGCACATGGGGGTTAGCGGGAAAACGAAGGCCACCGTTCGAAGGTCACTATTAAAAGGAAAAGAAGGGATGGCTGTTTCATGTCGGGTGAAGACAGCTCGAAGGGAACGTAAAACTCACTAGTCAATTCCGCTCAACCTTTTAATGTGTCAAATTTTTTAATGAAGGAAACATAATGAGAGAAAATTATTTCCTGCCCATTATACAGCTGCGCAACGATTTTTTTTTTTTTTTTTTTTTTGTGAAGAAGCAAGAATGGGATAGTGATCAACAAACAATGCATGACGAAGGGTGAACCTGGGGTAGAAGGCACCTCCAAGTTCAAATAAAATGAGAAATCAATCGGATGCTCATCTCTCATATGTGCACAAAAAAAAAAAAAAAAAAAAAGGGAGAGACACAGAGAAGGGGAAAGAGAGGAAGGTAGCTGCAGGGAATCTTCCTCTACAGCTTTGAACCACCTACACGGATACATACAATCGGATTAGCCGCAAAAAAAAAAAAAAAAAAAAAAAAAAAAAAAGGGCAAACGGAGTGGCACGAAAAGGCACTGGGCCAGCGGAGCATCAAAGGAATTGACAAGGGGCCAGGTCACACACAACGGTACCCACGGAATGAGGTATATCTCCATCGCATGTGTGATGGCAGCGGAACGGACAGGGTTACATTTCGCTCTCCTTATGGTGCTACAAATTGACGTTGCTCATTCGGGTGTTGAAGTCGTGAATTTTGCGCTTAATCTTGTCCATGTCTGCAGAGGGGTGTGTGTGTGGGGGGGGATGAATGATGAGGGGAGACAGGTTAGCAGAGTAACTGCCAAAATGGCTAGCACGCTGACTAGCGGGGCAACTTCGAACACAGGTGCGAACCCCCGAGCGTGAAGGCATATGACAACGCCGCGATTACCTTCGTAGGCGTAGGAAAGGATATTGGACGCAGTGTCGGAGACAAGGGAATATTTATCATCTGTAATAAGGGAGGGGGAGGCGGTAAACACAATGGGTGCGGATTCACAGTTCGGCGGGGAGCCACATAACATATTCCCCCCCTTCTCACGCTTCCATCAAACCGCTCGTGCCTTACCAGCCATGGTGGTGGTGCGCTCAGGAGATATGTCCGAGTTGCAAAACAGGTAAGGGTACCGCGTGAAGAGGCTGTGGGGGTCAGACGTCACCAAAGGCGAAGAGGTCGCCTTGGAATATTTAAATTTAAGCTGCGTCTTTTTTGTGGCCTTCAATTTTTCCGCAAACAATTTCTCCCCTTGGACACGCGCATTGAGGAGGAGTAACTGGAAGGGAGACTCCACACATGTAAGCATTTGCTTGTTAACCACACGCACGAATTTATACAGACTGTCTATACATTTATACACTTTGATGATGCGCTCCTGATATTTTAAATAATGTAATTTGAGGAGAAAATTCAGTAGCCATTTTCTATTGCAAAAGGTAACAAAATGATTCAAGCATTGAGTGAAAATTTCAATCTTGGTCAAATGTCTATATTGGAAGAGACGAGGATAAGCTTCGTTCATCCTTAGGAGGTGCATGACATGGGATTGTTCCTTCCTGGTTAGCAGCACTTCCAAAGTGTTTGTGGCGTATAGAAGTCTACTCCTATTATTATGTTGATACGATTTCAATACGAAGAGGAAGAACCAGTCTTGCACTTTTCTCTGCATGTGTTTATTCAAAATGTAGCAAAAAACCCCACAGTGTTTCAACACGGGAGTATTCGCCTGCACTATATTTCCTACATGTGGACCCCTCAATAGGAAGAAGTACTTTAACAAGGACTCCTTCATCTTAAATTTGTAAAAACACTCTGCCCTGTGAATTCCCTTCTCCAACGTTGTTTTGTCCAAGTGTTGACACAACTCGTTATTGGCATACATTAAATTATCACAAACGATTTTATTCTTCTTGCCCATTTCATGAAAAAAATATTTTTGTATTTGCAAAAAGGCGTAATACTTCTGACGTTGGACCATCCTAGAAATGACTCTGACTATTCGAAAGACATTTTTCTCAATGGAGACCTTCTTGCCAATTCGATTATCCCGCAACCGAATGTAACCGAGGAATACTCGACGCAGGTATACCTTATACATGATGAAGACAAAATTAGTTACATAATCGTAGTGGAATATTAACTTGGACAAAACGAATCCTTTTATCCTTCGTTCGTAGTTGGTCAATATACTATTCACACGAGTAAGTGAATAACAAATTGCATTCTTCCTCCGACTTAGGGTTCTATTCTTATGTACAAAATGTTGAAAGTAACAACTCATCTTTCTTTTGTATAAATTGGAAAGGATATGAAATAAAAGGAGGAGACTTTGTTTGTCTACCATTTCTTGGTAGCTACTTTTTTCCTTCACCAACAAATTGAATAACAAATTATTTGTCTTCACTTGGTAGCTTACAAAATTCGTTTCGTAACTTTTTATCATTAGAAAATTAAAATAACTTTGCATTTTTTTTCGTAAATAAAATTGTACCTGATCTACCAAATTTTTCAATGCCTTTTCTCTTTGCTTCTTTCCTTGTTCAATTTCCTTCTCGTAATAACATTTAGTTTGCAATGCATTAAAGGCACACTTCAAAACGTGCCGTCTACATACCCTATCGACTATCTGCAGTAGATGCTTCAAATAGAGTAGGTAAAGCATTTTGTGCTTCTCCACCATGTAGGAGTAAACGGATTCTATCGTCAGATACTCCTTACATCTAACCTGGTTCCCTCTCCAAGTGGGTTCTATTTTGCCGCTAATCTGTTCAAACACTTCCATGTTGCTCGATCGAAACAGCAAAGCGACATTCTTTTCATACCCATCCTTCTTTTTAAAAATGTATACCAATTTGAATTGGTACCTCTCCTTCTTCTTCTTACTCCTCTTAACTATACTCACGTTTAAAATATTTCTATACGGAATGCACGTTATTATATTTTTATCATTGAGCTTAATGAGCAAGTAGTTGCAAGCCAGAGTGATCACAATGGAAATGTACTTACGGAACATCAACCCCACCTTCATCTCCACTTGGTACTCGTCTTCTTCCGTCATCAAATTTTTTACCTCATCATTTATTTGTTCGTAGCAACTTTTGTTTAGTACCACTTTGGCCAAATCTGCCCCTCGCACCGCTTCGTCCCAGAGTAAGTTTCTGGGCACTTGTCCGAGGCGGTCTTCAAAGGGGTTCATGCCGGCCACGTTGCTCCCCCTACCCATGCGGCCCCCATTATCGATGCCGCTGCTTCGAATCGCTCCATCCTCGTCGCTCCTTTCGTTTATCCTGTATGTGTAAATTTCTTCAAAAAAAAGTTTGTCCATTTTAAACTCTTCGATGTCCTTCACTAGAATCTCGTTGCTGGAGAAGGTCTGCTGCTGCTCACGATGATGCTGCTGCCCCCCGAGGCTGCTGCACTTGCACATCACGTCCAACCTATTTAGTACGTCTTCGTCATTACTCGGGAGATTCACGCTATCACAACTGGGGCCCTCCCCGGGAACATCACCAGAACGTGGTATGTACTTTCCATTATAGCACTTACCCAGGGGGACCCGGCTCTGCACATCGCCATCCGCCATGCGGCCCATCCGCTCGCTGTCCCGTGGAATTACTTCATCGCAGCGGTTTACTTCACTTTCTCCATTTCGCAAGTCCCTCCAGTTGGAAGAATTTGTCAACATGTTAAACGAATTATTGCTGTTAATTCTACGCCAGAGGTGCGTGGAAAAAAAATGTTCTGCTAACTCAGGGTGGCGCCCCCCCCGATTTTCCTCGACATTTGAACGCAGTGTGCTGCTGAAAGGGTTCCCGCAACTGCTTCGAGTGTCGTCACCACTACGCTTAGCGCGGTTCGCGCGGTTAGAGTGATTGGATCCGTTAGAATGGTTAGAGCGATTGGAGCGGTTAGAACGGTCAACGCGGTCGCTACTATCACTGGTGCCACTGCCCCCGTTGCCAGCTTCCCATTCATTGCCCATTTTTCCGCCGCACCGATTGCCCTTACCACAATTTGAAACGACACCCCGCGCGACAAGGCCCCCCTCGTGGAGACACTTTTTTTTTTGCGCATCACTGTGACCCGAGGGAGTAGCACATGCGGTGCCACGGCAGCAGTTGCTGGGCTGAGCGAGTTCCCTGCCCGTTACACCAGTAGTAATATGGCCGCTCACTTGGCCAAATGCGACAATTCTTTCACTTTTTTCCCTTTCCTCGCTTTGTGCGCTTCCAACCCTGGCGATGCACACTGCGCGCGACCTACTCTCCGCGATTAAAACCGTCGAGGAATTTACAGCGCCACCACTCGCCTTTGCAAAAGGGGTAATTTCCACTTCTAGTGCACTACGGGTAATTTGACATCTCTTTTTTTTCCCCCCCGTGTTTCTTACTTCCCCTTTTCCTTCCCCTTTCGCTTTGTTTTTCACTCCCTTTTTCACTTCCTGTTTTTTCCACACGGGCAAATTTCCTGGGTAGCCGCGCAACTGCCCATTTTTATGGCCCTCCAAAGAATTAATCACCACGCGACCACCGCTCGCATCATTGTAACACTGCTTCTTCTGCACCCTCGATGACAAAAATGAATTATGTGCGCTAAACATTATGCCACTCGAACCCTCGAACGGGTTATGTAATTCTTTCATATGTTTGGCGTTCGTCCGCACCCCCAAATAACTTTGCCCCATGTCATGTTCCCCCTCTGGTCTGTTTTTACCGCTCGCCCGATTACCCCTGTTGTCCTCCCGATTAGTGCTTCCACTTGGTGAATTTTTAATAGATAAAGAATTGCCACGCCGCTTATTTGTCATTGGTGCTTCTCGCGCCACAGCGATATGTGGTTCATCTGCGCGGGTTGGTGATGCCACTCGGGGTGTCTCCTCCTCAGCGACGTCTTCATTTTCATAACTAAGGGGGTTACCCGTTCCGTGGGGGAAATTTTGGAGTAATTTGGGATGGCCCACCATGGGACCGCTTCGGCCTACCCATTTTTCCGACCCATGTGTATAGACACTTTTGCAATTTACACCCCATGAATATTTCTCTCTGGTTCCTCCTTTTCTTTCACTGGACACGTGGAATGTTCCTCCGTTCACATTATTATAATCAACATGGGGTGAAGCTCTCCCCATATGTGTTTGCTGGCACGTCGCTTTGTCCATCGCTTCAGAGTGCCTACTGCGCGTAACCCGTGGCTCTTCGTGTGATCTGTACGAGGGGGTTCCATTTAAATTTCCCTTTACGAACAATTTCTTCTCCTCTTCCTCTTCATGTGGAAGTGGCACATGGAAGGATCCATTACGTCCACAAATGGGCCCCAAACGGGTTACACCTTTTACAGGGCATATTACTTCCGACCCAGCTTTGCAAAAGGTACCACCTGAATGGCTGTCGTGCCGCTCCCTGCTGATTGGCATCCCCCATGGTGGACTTTTTTCTAGGAAGAGCTTCAACTCTTCATTAGTTAGTGTGTACAGTTGGTCATTATGTCCCTTTTTCTGATGCGTTGAATTTACGCCGAGAGCAGCATTATCAGGATGAACTATATTTTCACGTTTCACCAAGTTTGCAACTACACTTTCGCTGTATTCCAGGTTGGAGGATAAATATTTTGACTTGAGTTCGTCACCCTTTGCGTCCATTTGAACAACTTCTTTTTTCCCCCCTCCACTATTGGTTTGTAGTACCCTTGTGTCTTCATTCCTGTTTGGGTTTTTCATGTCAATTGCAACTTTTGCCTTTTCAGTGGCTTGATTCATCTTACCCTGATATACCCTCGCGTCTGTATCGCCAAACACCTTTTCACTTCCTCGAAATGCACCTGATCTGATCTGAGGAACTCCCCGGTTCTTTCCCCCTCGAGCTAAGTCTCCTATATCATCAGTATTGTACATATATAGCATGTTCAAATTATCTGTAGTCATGTTTATATTTTTCTTTTTGGGGGGGTGGGGAGAAAAAAAAAGCAAAGGTAAATTTGTCTAACAGTAGAATGTCAATCTGTTAAGAGATGCCAGGTCATATGTGATAATTTCGAACGCGCTACATGCGTGTGTATGTGTATAATACGTGCACTGCCTCTCCGCACACACACACACGTGTGTGTAAGTATATCAACAAAAAAAAAAAAAAAAATGAACTTCTTTGTGAATAGTGGACAAAGTAGAGCATCCCGTGTGAGCTTCAAGAATTAAACAAAATGTACAAAATGGACATGCAAAATTGGTTAAACAACTATGTGTTGTAAAAAGCACCACTTGGCCTAAAAAGCGGGGGCGCAAAAAAAAACACGACAGCTTGTTGGCAGACAAATAGTGGAGTGGCAGTGAAAGCAGCTTATCTCTGCCTTATCACATGTGTCCTTTTTTGCCCCTTCAAAGTTTAAGTAAGAATACGGCCATGTGTGAACTTCGTTGTGTTTCAAAACGATGGTGCTGTTTACCGCTCTTGATGATGTTACCCGTGCTCGGTTTGGTGAAAGTGAGTCTCTACGGGGGCTGGGATCTGCTTGCCCCTCGCAAAACCATGAGCGCAGCGCTCTCAAAATGATGTAAACAAATTTGAGAGCGCAAATTTGGTTCCCTCACTGTGGGGGTGCGTTTTCGTTACATATAAGCATATACATTTGAGTGATGCTTTGGAACCCGCTAGGGTTAAATAGGTTGGATTAACTTCTCTACTATACTACGGTTATCAAAAACAAAAAAAACACTTTCTTGGGGTGAAAGAAGCTACATGCATATGTACATGTGTGCATAAGTGAACACGCATATAATGTTCGCCTCAATACCAAATGGCTTGTCCTTGCACGGGTTACACCAATACGCGTAGGCATGCACTGTCGCTCCAGACTAGTGGTACCGCGAGTGTCCAGTTTTCAAAAGGCTACAATATTTGGCGCAGTGGGTTGTGCAAAAATGGGTGCAGCTGCATGTAGGGCAGTTAGACAGGAAACGAAGCGCTCATGCTTACGTTTGTCAAAAAAATGCCATACGCGAAAAATAATTGTCGAGCCGTGCTCGTTCCAAAGGGGGAAACGGAAAAGTGCCGGAAAAAAATATCTTCATGTATGCATATGCATGTGTATGTATATATTTCCATTTGTGTACTTTATACGTAAACACATCACCGCACTACACACTTTTTTTTCGAAATGAAATCTGTTAACAAAAATGGTGCGGAGTATGTGCTTAACGCGGAAAAAAAAAAAAAAAATATATATATATAGCCCTGTAGGTATGTGTACACGTTGTGCGTAAGCATTTCCCATTAAAGCTTTTTCTTCTTTTTTTTTTTTTGTGGTGGGTGAACCTTTTTCTTTGCTTTCCCCTTTTTATATTGCCCATTCGGGATGTAACGCTCAGTTTACGACTTTGTTTTGTGTTACTCTGTCCATTTTTTGCGCCATATAATTTGTTTTCTTCAGCCTTTACGAGCCATCACCCACACCGTACGGCAAGCTAGCGAAATTGCAAAACTAAAAATAATAACATAAAAAAAATAAAATAAAAAAAAAGTCATACAAAAACGTGAAATAATTATGAACTGTTCATAATATTTTTGCATGTCTTTATTTTTTTCCCGTCCCTTTTGTATTGCCTGTTCAGGTAAAAATGGCTTGCTTTGCAGAATTAAATGAGTCCTCCTGTGGCTACTACTCGATAGCCTTACAACGTTTAATGGCATTGGCCAAGACCAATGTTGTGAAGAAAAGGTATGTCCCTTTTTTTAGCTGTCGAATGAATGTACAAAGGCTTTTTAACGCATGGGAGGTTGGCGGAAGGGAACGCAAACTTCGGTTTCGAAAAAGGTTACAAGGCAAAAAAAAAAAAAAAAAATATTATACCGCTGACACTACTGTGAGCAAATTAAAATTCGTAGTTGTGGTAAATCGGGGGATGGGTGATCCTTTGGTCTTCTTTTTTACAATTCACGCACAGTTGGGAAATGATGAGGAATAAATTTACAAACTGGCATGCGCAAAATGGACAATACTGGACTGCAGCATTTTCACCCCTTTCGTGCAGCGCTACACAATGTGCATTGCGCAGACGAAAGGAACAAGTTGACATCGACGCATAAAAGAGAAATTTAAATTTGCAAATTCTTGGGGGGGGGGACACGCAACTTGGAGATGTGAAACAAAAGCACACATATGTGTATATCAACATATGTATAAGCATGTGTGTGGTGATTGTCCTTCCTGAACACCACGTTGGCCAAGTTTCACAAAGTGGTCTTTCCCCCGAGACGCTTTGTGCGATTATTTCGTGGGCAGTCCAGTTTTTGCCTTTGGTTGTGGTTTCCCATACACTGGCTAAAACTCATGCGCATACGCGTAGTAGCCAAATTGCAAATATGGAAAAGAAGTTTGAGCTTGAGATGTTTAATGAGTGCCATTAGGTATAGGAGAGTTGATCACGGTAGGTACATGCCAATATGTTTGGGGAAAAATAACTCCACCTCGCCCCAACTGAAGGTCTCCCATTAGGGGAGGAAACGAGAAATTTACCACTGCTCAGCTTTTTTTGCTCCATTTTTAATATACATTGTGTCATTCTTTTTTTCTTTTTTTTTTTTAATGCGAATTGTAGCTTCACATTTTTAACGAGGGGGGGTGCGCAACACGGATTATTACGCACAAAAAATATTGTGTTCATGTGAAGAGGGGGCGGGGAAAAGAACTGTTCTTCCTTCAGTAGAGTAAGCATATGATTCTTATTCATCTACGGAGGAGTGGTGGATCCCATGAAGGCAAACTGGCTCCCCCGTTTATATATCACGTGGGGGCAAGCAGGTACATATGGGCATACATTCATACATATGCACACGTATGCGTGCTTGCACCCGGCCTCAGGGAGACATATTCGATGTGCATCTCATTTACGTACCCTCGATACTTACAGCACAGCTGAGAATATTCTTTTTCGATGGAGGCGAAAAAGGAAGAAGTGTCCCCAATGTTAATGTGTAATGGTGTTTGTTTCACGTGAATCATACAAATTTGTGGGCGGAGAAATGTGTAAAAGGAACAGGTCTGGGTGATCGGAAAAGGAAAAACAGCCGTAAAAATTGTATTTTTATTATTTTTTTTTTTTTTATCACCCACGTTCAGAAATGCAGCATTGGTTATGTTGAAAATACTCGAAGAGTTTTTTTTTTTTTTTTTTTTTTGATTTGGCAAATTTCCCTCACCCTGAATATTTTCCAATTTGTTTTTTCACTTTTTCGCTTTCGCGAAGTTCTAACCATTTTGTGATACTTACAATTACAATATTTTAGATGAACCAGCGTTAGCGTGAAATATTTGTTTTTTTTATTTTTTTATTTTTGTATTTTTTTATTTTTGTATTTTTGTGTTTTTTTGTATTTTTGTATTTTTTTGTTTTTTTTTTTGGGGGAATTCGTTTTGTGTGCCTAATAGATTCGGATCACACGTTTGGGTGTTTGCGCGCATATTGTTTTTGTTCACGTCTTTGCCTCCCATTTTTCACCATGAAGGTGGCCTACTTTTTGTCCGCTCTGGACTTGCTCATTATTTTCAGCTTGTACTTGGGAGGGACGTGTAGCGGTTTCGTGGGCATTGATGCCTGTATAACACATGGCCGAATTTTGGATGAAGCGCCGAAGGAGACCGCCGGTGTGAGCGGTGGTTCAAGCGGTGATGCGAAAGGCGATACGAATGGTGATGCGAGTGACACCACGAATGCTGTAGCCAATGGTACCGGCAATGGTACCGGTAACGGGGCCTCCAGCGGTGATGCAAGTGGCGGTTCCAACCCCCCCACGGAGAACAGTGGTAGTGAGGGAAGTAACCCAGAGAACTCATCTACTCCTTCCAGCAACTCGCCAACGACTGGCGAGAAGAAGACCCCTCCAGGTGAGGAAAAATGACGCGATTATGAAGCGGTGGCGAAAACGGTCAGACACAGAACACAACCAGACAGTAATCGCAAACGAGCGAACACACCGCCTGGGCCACATCAACAAGTGGAGCCCCAAAATATAAGCACTCCCCTTTTCCCCCAACCCCCCCCTAATGGCAGGTAGCGAAGGTCAAACGGGTGACCCCAATGTACAGGCAACAAAGGAAGATGATGCCGACCAGGACGGCGATGATTACAGCGATGCAGAGGATGATGGGCCATACGATTTACATGACCATGACGAAAATGAAAATTTATGTTTGGATAATAATGGTGGATGTGGAGATGACAAAATATGTGAAGAGTTAGGGAAGGGGATAGTGAAGTGTTTGTGTAAACCTGGGTATAAGTTGGTTGGCATTGAGTGTGTGGAGTCATCCACATCGTCTTCCTTGAATTCTTTTTTTTGTTGGTTTCTGCTTCTGATTATTGTTTTGGCTTCCATTAATTAATTTTTCCCGCGGCACGGCCATACGTGTGTTTGTGGAGGGAACAACTGGTCGTTGTTTTTTCTCCCCGTTACGATCGTACGATTAGCGATCAGAATACTTGGGATTCCTTTTGCCCTTTTTTAACGCATCACTGGGGGTGTCTCCATCCTTGTGCTCGACAAGTTTAACATATTCGCCATGTTGTGCGACTGGTTTGTTGTCATGGAGGGGCAACTGGGAAAATAAGAAAATAGAAAAATGTTATCTCTCCCGCTACGCATTTTAAGCGAATTTTTAAGCGAATTTTTAAGCGAATTTTTAAGCGAATTTTTAAGCGAATTTTTAAGAGAATTTTTAAGCAATTTTTTTTGCACATTCTTAACAGATTATTTTTTGCGTTTTTTTTGTGCATTTGTAAGATATTTTTTTTTCGCACTTTTAAGCGATTTTTGTTTTTTTTTTTTTGCGTTATTTTTCCAGCTAACTTTTTAATGTTTCAAAGGCCGACGCATTGTTTAAAAAATTTTGGTGAACACCGCAACAGCAGTTGGGTACTTTAGTTACTGTTCTGCGCAGCGGGGAAAAAAAGACAAAAAAAAAAGAGAACAATTTTTGACCTCGTTCTACAACGTTCCGATTTTTTTTTTTTTTTT